TTTATGAAGCATTTTCAACCATTCCGTCTTAATCATAATTATTATTTCGTATTTTCAATTTTGTAATGGTTGACATCATTCTTGAAATACATTTTATTTGATTACGGCTTTGTGTTAAAGGTCTGGTTAAACCTATTTGCCCTGCACCATGACAAAAATATATTTGACGAACCTTGGTGTTACAAACCTGAGAGATGGTTAGACGATGCTGGTAAACTGGTGTCCATTGAAGAAAGAAATAAGTATGAACAATATACTTTTCCGAAGGACTTGTCTTTTAATAGTGGCCTTTGAATTCTTACATTCACCAATACGAACTTGAACAAAAACGTGCAACTCACCTTTCATCAAATGTGAGCTTTAGAAAATTGAACATTTTCGTTTAATGATTTAAAATACTTTTCCATTCAAAGAACAGTTGTTTGATTAAACATTCTTGAATATACGTACACATATATTAGTCACTTGACGGAATTCACGTTACATTTTTGATCACCAAAAAGTATTTATTCATTTCAGAATTATCCCATTTGGTGCAGGACGTAGAGTTTGTGCAGGAGAACAGTTTGCAAGAACGAGGGTGTTTCTATTTCTCGCCAATATACTACAAAGATTCACAATCGTTCAACCTGAGGACGCAGAGCCACCTAGTGCTGACCCAAGAAATTACACACTTGGTATCACACTCGAACCAGGGCCATTTACTATCAAAGCCATACCACGTTAATATATTTTAATCAGAGATTCGTTAAGGATCTTTTGCAAAACTTTGCTTCGTTGCGTTAATGATGAGCATGATCGGGTCTCATTGAACCCAATGCTACAAAAGATTGCAAACGCTTCATCTTAGATAGGCCAACAGACAGAATTGCTTGAATTTGAAAGCTTGGCAACAGAAAAGATTTATGAGATAAAAAAATCAATTTCTATTATTATGCACCATAGAGCCCTGTATAAACTGTAAATTACGCTCCAATCGTTTAAATTGTTCCAACCGTTTCAATTGTTTCAATCGTTTCAATCAGATCAATCGTTTCAATGCATGCATCATTTCCTTCATTTCAATGCTTACGTTATTTTGCGCATTTCAAACGTTTCAATCGATACGCCTTCAAAAATGAAATTGAAACTTTGCTGCCTGCGTCCGTTTCGCCTTTACAAGTTATCAATTACATGGCCAGTTCATGAAAAAAGGCGGAATGGTTGAAAAGAAAAATGAACACGCAAAATTTTCGTTTCAAACGTTTTGCCGGGGCTTTTCAACCGTTTAAATCATTTCAATCGATACGTCTTGGAAAACCTAAATTACTATTTCTCGCTGCTTGCGACTGTTTCGCCGTTTCAAAGGTTTCAATCAATTCGCCTATTCTTAATTAAGTTAATTTTCATCTCAAACAATTCGGCCGTTTTGCCCCCGCTTTTCGTCTGCCAGTGTTAACACCCTTTAACTCACACCACGCGACGTTACCTCTGATCACGTCACTATTTTTATATCACCACCAAAAGGTGGTGATCTTGTTATGGTCTCAATTTCTTGTGTTTCTTGTGACGGCGGTTGGCCGGTGGCCGTTGGTGTTACGCAGTAAACAAGATACAAATATATGTCATTCCGCAACGAATATGGCATTTTCGCTTGCGGTGTATGACAGATTAACCTGCGGTATATGTCATACACACTATCCAATGAGAACGTGATACGGAAGTACGCAATTGCAATCGATTGAATGAACATGTAAACGTTTATAAATTATGAATCAACTGTACAGTCTATCGAATCTATCAACTTATGCAGGAGTATCACTCACCAATCTCACCTAAAAAATACTCAATCAGGTCAGAAATCATATATTAGTACTCGAGGCAAGGGAAAGATCAATACCCGGTGATTTCAGCGGGAAGTGGCGTTTCGTTCAGTGGATGAGCTGCGCGCGCACGCATAAATGTGATTATCCAATATAATTAGGGGAGGGCTATTTGAAATAGTTTTTGGTCTCAGGCGCGACCCAGGGCTGTTGTCTTAAGGACATTTCGTTGAAAATGAGCCATTCGGCTGATAATTGGTAAGAGTTTGCGATCTTAAAATCTATAACTGTTACTCAGACACATATTTTGACACGATTCTGTTGGAAATAAGCTTTGAACCGAGAGATATTCACGATTGATATGCACATTTTTGATTGTGCCATTGCTTTTCCATTGCACAATCCATGTATTGATAGAAGTAACATTAATAATGCAGATTGTTTACCTTCAATACATGGCAGACACTACATATCGGTCTATTAAATACCAGTTTGTGCCTTAAATAGTTTTATATTTCCATCCACGGCCTGGAGCCTGGGTGTGTTTGTCTCTTATGTGTATGCTTGTGCATGGACTTCTAATCACTAGCAGAATTTAACATGATGCATGCAAACTCGACATTATAACTCATGCTGTAACATTTTGACTTCGCTGGAAAACAATAGGAATTATTCTTCTCGCCTATCAATCATGAGTCACAATCAAAATTTCAGAATGATCAATCAGGCAATGGTCCAAATCAAGTTATAACATTATATGATATTCAGCAAGAAGTCCGGTAGAAATACAGAATATTTAAACATCAAAGCTGAAAGTTAAAAGCTAATCTGTCAATTTTCTGTCTGCAAAAGAGCGTTTACATTTGACACAATAACAGACTGAGGCTTTGAAATCTAGGATTCCCCAGGAAAATATGACGTCATACTAATTAGCATAAGGATTTCCCTATTGGTCTGGGTCGTGCCTTGTTCGAAAACACAATCCATAAATACATGCTAATTTCTAAGGAGATAGGAAGTGTATAACGTGTTTATCGATTTTGTTTAAAGATTTAATCAATTATCAAATTGTTTAAGTGGATAAAGTGGTCACACTTGCTTCAATTCATAGCGAAATCGACGGATGGAAACTGACCGAATTCCCGATATCCCACCCCGTATTACTGTAGGCTATAAGCACAGTGACATACAGAGGGCGCTATCACAAACAAGTACTGCACGAACCGATAAATTCCCGGGTATTGTAACGCCCTTGCTCGAGGCACTAACTTTATTGGTAATCCAGCGTAGTTCTACATTTAGAGTCAATTCTCGCAACCAATCAAATCAAGGCTCTTTGTATTGCGTTTTCATCTGCGGTATATGTCATATTCACATGCTTCCTCAAATTGATAATGTTGTGCATAAAAAATGCATTGCAATTTACAGTACGTGAGATTGACAGACTGACCCCGGTAGACTGACTTCATACAAGTGTGTTAGATTTGTCTGAGCACTCTAGTTTATAATATTAATTTGATATCGCAAACAAAAAATTGTCTTTACGGGCATATATCGTCGATGTCACTCCCTACATAGGGAAAATGTGATCAATCAAAAGATGTTTACGTCTATAGGTCATCGTTTCACAAGAGGTCTGTACATGTGACTGTACTTGTTGCATATCTTAATTATTCCCCGTGAATACCAGTCTTACGAGGTCATGGGCTTCAAACGTCAAGGAATACCATACATTGAAAATTAAGATGTGTATGAACAAATAGCAGATTAGGAATGAAAATTACAAGTAAATTGAATCGAGACTAAGGATGCACAAAATGTGACCATCCTTGGGACGCGGTGATGCATTTAATATTGGGTCGAAGTGCCCAAAATCTGAAAAATATATAAATAACGATGCTACAGCTATAAAAATCGGCAACTCCACGGAGTAGCACTGAAATCCCAGCGAAACTATATTCATGAATCTGCATGGCACAATGTAATATTTAACATCTACCCTACTCTTGATTAAATTTGCATATTAAAAGACACGCATTAAAGATATATCAAAATTTCACAGTATTTTGGGTAACCATTTAGGAGTTTCAAAGGCATTAATTGAAAAGATCTCTAAGTTGTTGCGAATTCTTGCTCTAGGCAGGTATTTTGAATGTTCTGAGGCACAAATCAGAAAAACAATACCTAAAATTCCTTCAATTTGGGTAAAATATAGCCATACTTTGAAGTGACCAGAAAATTATTGGAAATCCCATATGAGTCTGCCATTTTGAATTTTACTAGACCCGAACGATACAATTTTAGGAATCTACTCTAAATTGCCTTTCATTTCAGTAACACAAAGGAGTATTTTAAAAGGATCTCAAAATTAACGACAATTCCTGTTTCCACAACCCCCACATACACGGAACGAACCTGGTGAAAATAATGGAATATATTTGAAATAAATAGATGTTGTGAATACACATGTACTTTTTGCGTAAAGCTGTTAAGAAGAAAATGGTATTCAAGTTATAGTTTTTAGTTTTTATGGTTTCTTTATTTTACTTTACAAAATTATCTACAAATGACAGGGCCGAGGCTGAAATCAGCATTATTGGCCCTGTTAATACAAAGTTTATTCAAATTTACAAAATAGCAACAAAATGACTACCAACATATATGTATGCATGGCAGGAATATGTTAAAACTATATAATTATATCAATGCATTCACACAAAAAGGATGTAAAATGCTTCAATATTGAAGAATTGCATGTTATGCTAACTCCATCTCTGCCATACATTAAGATATTCAGCTTTTGCTCTATAGAGCATCCTGTAAAGAAAATGTTCATTTCTGGCATGTTCCTGAGTTCCCCCCAAAGTTTCTCTCTTATAACATTCAACAGAGGGCATTTGAAGATTAGATGCTTTGTAGTTTGTTGTTTAAAACCACAGATGCATTTGGGACTGTCAATACCTTGAAAATTATGTTGAAAAAGATGACCAGTAAAAATGAAATCACATCTTATTCTATTCAGTAAAATTTCTTCTTTTCTTGTAAGATCCAGGTTTGTGGTTGTTAAATGCTTCATTGTTCCTGAATATTTACGTAAATTGGTTTTGAAAGTTATCTTCCGGATGGAAGGCCCGACTAACCTACACGACGACGGAGGGACAGACGGATGGCTTCACTATACACGTATCTCTATTGAACGTCGTTTGTTTGGATAATAAAAAATGTTGAATGTTGAAGCAGTAGCCAGTAGTAACATACACCTGGCTGTTGTAATACCATGTTGGTCTTGACAGGTATTTTTACTTTCGTGATTGTTTCGCTTTTCCGGCGATTTTTGGACCCGAAAAAGAGGATCTTATCCCGGATACCTGGTCCAAAAGGAATACCGTTTCTCGGAAATGCGCTACAAATAGATCCAATCAACATTCACAAGGATCTGTTGTCATTGAAGGAGACCTATGGGGATATATTCAAACTGGACTTTGCTGGCGACCAAGTAGTGGTTTTAAATAGTCATGCTGCCATATACGAAGCTCTTGTGACAAAGTCTAAGGAATTTGCAGGTATAGTGTTTGACTATTACGTAGTTTTTTTACTGGCAATAGGTGGCCATGCTATAGCATACGAGCAATGATTTGACGAGTGTCAGGCAAAATAAATTTTGTGATATCACACATTTGACAAATAGGTTTTTACTTTATATTGATACATGAGTTCGATGGATTCAATGAATTATTACCAGTAATGGCATTTTCAATGTTTCTAGTTGCACTTTAGGTACAAATTAGCAATACTTCAGACAATAATAAAAATAAAAAGTCGATGACTTATGATTTTTATATTCTTAAAATGAGTTTTTACTATCAAACATCCTAGTGTGCAAAAATGAAAAAAACATCTAGTGTGCAAAAATGAAAAACAAGTCTTTTAGTTTATAAGATAAAAACTAACCCGCCTTAATCCCCAACTCGCCTATTCCCTGACACGGTCAACTTAAAATCAAAATGTTTTTTAACTTTAAGTGGCAAACGAAGTTCGAAGTTGGTGATGTGCAGTATTTTTGTTGTTTTATTATGAAGAATAATTATAGCATGATTATTTAATTTGAGAATCCGAAGATAAATGAAATATAATACCGACTTGGCCAAGGCTATTTAAAGAACACATGATATATATAAAACCATACTTCCAAAACAGACCAAATATGTATAATTTAAGGGTACTATATATTTACGAGCATGGGATAAGTCTAGTTATACTATACTTCTTATATGTATACCTCTTATGCTTAGAATTATATTCTGATGTACATTTCAAAGACTGCGATTAGTGAAATGCATTTTATCTAAAAATGGAAGTTATGTCACCTAAATAAAAAGATCACTTATGCATTACACCATTCCATTTAATATTTCAATTTTTCATTTTCAGGAGAAAGTCTGGAGGGAAAAATAGTCTGTAAGAAAAATCCGAAAGATCCAAGATCATTGGTTATAAAACTAACATATGGTGGCAGCACATACACCTACCACATGAGGTGATATATGGACTATATATATGGACTATAGGATACTTGAAATATAAACTACATCAGAGATATGGGTTATGCATCTTAGAAGGAAAATGTATTTGCTTTTTCCTTGTAAACGGGAGCATACAAGAATAAATAAAAGATAATGAGAACACATTTTTTTCTTATGTCTTTTATGCAATGTAAAATATTTAAGAATTGGTTGTCAATAATGTCTCCATCACATGTGATGAACTGTATATAAATGGACCAGGATTGCCATGGCAGGGAAATTATTTAAATACATGTATAAAATATTGTGACTGAATGAAGAATGATATTGTTAAAGAAGAAAATAGCCCTTTCTACCTTATTTGTATAATATTCTCTTCAATCCAAATGATATAGAACGTATAATATGACAAATAGAATAACCCATTCACATTTGTGTAATATTCTCTTCCATGAGAATAATGGAAAGCTACATGATAAATAGAATGACCCATTCTACCACATTTGTGTAATATTCTCTTCCATGAGAATAATCGAAAGCTACATGATAAATAGAATGACCCATTCTACCACATTCGTGTAATATTCTCTTCCATGAGAATAACTGAATAATGGAAAGCTATATGATAAATAGAATGACCCATTCTACCACATTCGTGTAATATTCTCTTCCATGAGAATAACTGAATAATGGAAAGCTATATGATAAATAGAATGACCCATTCTACCACATTCGTGTAATATTCTCTTCCATGAGAATAATCGAAAGCTATATGATAAATAGAATAACCCATTTGTAAAATGTGACAAAAACTTCATAGAGAGCATAATATGATGACACGTCAAATTGTTTCCATGTATCGTGTTGTTTTATTTTTTTTTCAATAATGAGATATGAAAAATCATTGATCATTTTATTCAGGGATCCCTATTTATCTTTATTTTTTCAAATCAACATCATTGATGCATTGCTACAATTTGAATCTTTATATTAATATAGTGATAGTGTAATGTGTGCTTTCAGTTAACAAGATCTACTTCAATTTAATATAGCACATATTTGTATATTGATTCAAATCGTCCATTTGTAGTGGCTGGTGCGTAAAATTCTTCTGATATATTTCTGCTTGCTGCTTTGTCAGCAAAGGAAGTGGATTGATTTTGTATGATATGTCATGTGGTAATAAATATAAACCTCTCGCCTCAGTAATGTTCCACAGTGGATGTACTTGGTAGTATGTATCAATCGAGTCATATATGTTCTGAGCCATTTTGATTGATTCCTCATCAGATATGACTTTATTCTCTTTTCCAAAATTATCCTTCATAACTATTTTAACCCCTTCATTTACCATATCTGTGATACAACGTCCTGCATCACATGCTTGACTTATGGAGTATACATCTCCTTTAGTAGGGTGGCCATTGTCATCAAATACTAGATGTTTGAACCCCAAGTCTTTTGATTGTTTCACACGTTTATAATGAGACTGATGGTCATCAAAAAACACGAGTGACCTATCCATGTTATTAATGTATTTGTCCCACTTTACTTCAGAGAAATCTTTGAAGTTATCACCTTGGAGATAGACACTGTTGTACATTGTATCTTTGTATATTGGATTTCTCTTGCTAGGTTCAAGCATTATAAGCTTTGCAGTAGGGGCAGCTTGTCTTAACATCCATGTCCCTAGACCACTGTTTATTCCACTTTCGATTATATATAGAGGGTCAAGTTGTCGAATTATTACCCACAGGCCAAACTGGTTCATTATTGTTGTGCCAAATTTGTTTGTTGCTGAAGGACGATTGTCATAAACATCTTTAAATTTCATAAGCTCCTTATAGATGACATCAGCTCTAGACCACTTCATCACACCTTTACGACATCGGTAAAACCCTTTACCTACAATTTTTCGGAAATCTTTGTTCCAACAGCCAACATCAACAGATTTCACTGGTTCTTTTCTTTCATATGAGTTCTCTAACCAGTTGAGCCCAAATCCGAAGAATGTCAAAGATATAAAAATAATACATCCATGTATACACGTCAATTGATTTGCCTTCATATTTCAGTTAACACAGAACAATGTGTATTGATGTAAGTAGACGGAAAAAGCTGCTGAAAATGAAATGTCAAGCTAGTTCTACAGGCCAGTAACATGTGTTTACTAAGCTTGCTGCAGTGTAACCCTCTCAACAACATTACAAGTTGAATTACAAAAGTCCATTTTTAGCAGCAATGTACAAGGGTTTGTGACATGACTGTAAACAAAAGATAGATGGGTGAATTTCAAGGTTAATTCTTGATTTGGTTTGACACTTGATTTTAAATTAGGTTATTTCAAAATAAAGTCCAACCTTTTGTACAGGTAATTCTAGAGTATTTTTTAAAATATCTTCTCTCAGTTAAGCACATTATTTTATTTTTACAAAGATGGTATGCCTACTCGGGGAGGTAATAAAGGGAGGTTGGGGTATGCTCGCCTCAAACTTTTTTGATAGTTTTTGGTGCAATCTTAGCATTTTTAGTATCTCTAAATTGCTAAAACCAGAGTAGATAATCCACCATTTTTATATTGCATCAAACATGTTAAAGGCATAGTCAGAGCTGTGGAGGAGACAAAAATTAAAAGTGAATGTAGACTAACTAATATAACATCTCCCAAAGGATCCACAGTATTTTATCAAATGGTGAAAAAAAAATTTTATTTTTTTTTTTACTTAAAATAATTTTATTCAAATCATATAAAATTCTTTGTCTAATTTGTAACCACACACTGTTTTATCCGAAGTGAAGACAGAAAATGCTTGGTTTTACCAGTAGATGGCACTGTCTGTACTATTTTTTAGCTAGTTCTTTCCTTCATTCTTATTTATGTACATGTAAATGGTGAAATTATTGAGAATTCAATGCAAAAAATGTGTGCACAATGCACAAAATCCCTAAATAATAAATAGTAAAGAATGAATACATGATTGTAAAAATCTTTAGTTTTTCTAGAGTAACTTCTATTTCAACATTTTCTTACAAAATAGCACAATATACATTTACTTTGCCTAATACAATTTACCACACACAAAACAATATCACACACAATATAAAGACTATATAATATATCATAAAAGTGTATTATGCAACATACCAGTGCAAATGCATTAGTTGTGCGATGCAATATACAATGGTTAATGGAATACAATATGCACATTACAATATACCACAGTGCATATTGTGTACGATGCAATACTATGCACAATACAATATTATGTCTAGGATTTCTTGAAAATCTCTGTCATGGAAATGGCTCGCAGTTACAATTGTATTACAAAATGTGTATGGCTTAAACTCATCAATCAATTTAGAAAATATACACAAAATTTCATGTTGAAATTTTCAAAATATTTTAATCTCATAAATCTATACAAATATGTACTAGCTGATGACAGAGGCTAAGCACACAATCCTGTTATGCTGGTACAAATAGTTGAGAGCTCAATCTCACATTGTAATTTTAACACATACTCATTTAGAGATACAGTGAAACCTTTATATCCAAACAACTCCCTAATCCTAACACCTCTCAACGTGAACACTTTTCCTTTGTCCAATTTTATTATCTCCCATTGACTTACATGTTTATAAAACCTTGAATGTGAGCACCTGCTAATCTGAACACTTCAATAAGTCCCAGAGGCATTTGGATTAGACAGGTTTACTGTATGTCTTCCTAACTGAAGATATCAAATACAAAATTTGACTTGCTTCTTTAGTTCTCATTTGTTCTTCAACCCTCAACTGTATTAACAGTTGACTGATGTGTTAAAGTGGGACTATATTGTAAAATACATGGGACTATAAATAAATAAATGTAAACATAAAACAAACAACAATTCTTGTATTAGTTTTTACTCATTTTAGCATTACACATGGACTGATACTTATATTCACAACATATGATGAAAAAGGTGGGCATCACAATACAAAATGCACAAAAGCAAAATAAAATGTCACTATTGAAATACTTATTTCTACATACTTTCTATTATCTGATGCATGGTAGAAAACAAAATGACCACATATCCAATGTTGAGCTGCCTTTTATGTCAAAAAGATTTCCATGTAGCATTGAATGTGTCTGTGTGAGATTTCAAAAATTGGCAAGGAAATGGATAAGTGGTCTGTCTATCAGATCTGTTTGAAAGCTTAATAAAAAGTTAATAAGCGGTTCTAGTATCTATTCTCTACCTTATGATTTCAATAATTCATTTATAACTATATTATTTCACACATATATTTTTCAATCGAGACCTAGTTTGTCTTCAATAAAGGCTACCTTGTGGTGGGTTTTATATTTAAAAATATTGATGTAGACTGAAGGTTGCAGGTGTACTATAGTATCACATTTAGTTCATTTTATATTTTTCATAAAGACCACTGATTCTTATATGATATATGATTCATATGTTAGTTTCCTGATCTTTAAAATTAAGTCAATATAAGGGTTTTATAATATTTGAATGAAGGCCAAATCAAGGTGTCAAAGTACTTCACAATGTTAGTTTGTAAGACACAAAATATTCATGATGATTGTTACATTGTCATATATAAATTCCATATAAGGTAAATGATATTCAAACTCCTTATATGACTCATGGCTCCTTATAAGGTTCATGATGGTTTCATTTTAATATAGTCCATATTAGGTCTCAGTGGAAGGCTGCCAGTGATCACTTGGTTTTTACTAGAAAGCATTCGTTGTCATAGAGATACTTCATCGCCCCTAGCATCCTTCCATTCAACTTCTTTCCCATTGCTCTCACCTGGATACAACAAATAAGCAAGTTAAACAGGGTAAATATTACAATAGAGAGATTTCGCACCTCGTGAAAGTACAACTTATAACGTATACTTATACTTATAGGTAAACGTACAAGGTGTTTCATAATGTGAGCTTTCCGTCAGGAAAGATCTTCTCGGACTGTAATAAATACAGGTCAAAGGGATGCCATTTGTATTTTCTTGAATTGTAGCATGTGCAAATGTGTTTGTCTCGAACAAAATAGGCTCATATATAGTACATATGTTATAGACCCATATCTTCTCAAATTGACTTTTTGGAGATGTTCGTTATGAAACACCCTGTATGTCATATGTTGAGCTACTGAATGGGTCGTTTCCAGGATTTGCTAGAACCTACTGGTTTGATTGGTGTTTCAAATTGATGGTTAAAGTATTTGATTGGATACTGTTCCCACTCAGCCAATTAATTTTAAAAAATGCTTGCGGTCAATTGTTCCACACACATGTAGGCAAATCTTTATACGGAGATCCTTATCATCTACGTAAATATACGTAAATGACCAACAGTCACTGATAAAACAGTGCTCTGTTTATTTGTATGCCAGCGTTGCTAGTGAATTACTCAGATGCGAGTAGGTAGTTACCAGTTTCGCCACCAGGTGGCTGATTCGGGGGAATTAACATGGCAGGGTATTACGAAATTCCCTTAAATTTGACTATGCATCAGTTTTAGTGGTTCACATTTCATATTACCTTTATGTATCTGATAGTTACACAAATTAAAATATGTCCAGTAAAAGAAAATATTATCTGCCCAACACAAGAAAAGATATTTCACTTTTTGTGGTTTTACAACATGGGGTCTATGGGAAATCTCCCCGACCTAGAAGTCACATTTTCAAAGAAAATTAAATTTTCAAAGTTGTTAAACTCTTTTCAAAACTACATTTGTAAATGTAATTTTACGTGTAGATTCTAAATATGACATCAGTTTGACTGAATTGTGAATTTTTAATGACATAAATCAAGATTATATCTACTCGTATCTGGGATATTGCGTAATGTTTTAATGACATTTAGCCCCACTAAAAAGAACAATAAGCCCTGCAGTGCTCATTACATGCTCATGTGTTTTCAATAAAAAAGCTCATTCAAGCGCACTAACACTCACATAATTATTTTGAAAAACATCACGGTTTATTGCAATCGAACTCCTGTGGTGCACTAGCAATAAGCTGTTGCAGATGACACATGCGAGCAGTTGACAAGGTTGCCACAGCGTAATTAGCAGTTTAAATGTGAGCATGTAATTTGCAACGCATGGGCTCATTGTTCTTTTATGTGATATCTCGAGAAAATGTGACTTTTTAAATAAAACAAGAGAAGTTTGAAAATTATGATGGCAGGTCAAATAAATAATAGATATGCATAAAATAAATGTGTGTAGGAGCTAATACAAATAGCAGTTTTAATTTGTACCACCGATGTTGATGGACAGACAGATGTGTTTCGTTTCCAATAACATGAATACCTACCTGTTCCCAAGTTGAGTCGAACCCCAGCCAGGAAGTCATTACTGGACAGTCTATCATAATCCCATATTGTTCACTCAAGGGATCGTTCATTTAAGTCTGCAAATGGTACATCTTCAAATACAAATGTGTGGTTCCAGACTGGGTTACAATTTTTCTTAACAACGGGAGTCTTCATTTTCGCTTTTTGGACTTGTCTGGGAGAAGATATCTGAAACAAGAAATACAAATAGATATCGAGCAGAATGGCCACCATGTAATCTATCCACCACAAACATAAGGGTATACAAACATTGTGGTATACAAACACTATACATGTACTTAGAACTTTGGAGATCTTCGAAGGAAATTAACAATGTTTCCGGAGAAATTACCACCATGCTAAATATCTGAAAAAGGTTTACCTAAAACAAATGTCAAATCAATATTTTGTTGAAAACTGACAAATCTAACATTGCGTTAAATTGTTTGATGAACCAAATAATACATGATAAACAGATAAACAGTTGGAATAACCAAGCTGTGGCTTGGATACTATTCATGCAGACAAATAGATGTATCTCCATCTCTTGTCAAGGCTTGTACTTGTCCACACAAAACAACTGTGTAGATACTTCAGTCGCGGGATACGATATCCCGAAATCCACACAGGTTAAATAACGCTAGAGATTTTGAAGTCCATCAGGATTTTTAAAGGAGGACGAAAAGTGCAACAGATTTTGGACAGTCATATGCTGGTTTTTGGCTTTTTTCTGATGATTTATATAAACAGGTGCATATGTTAAGTCAGTGCATTACCTCAAGGAAAAGCACTCATAGAGATGATAAAATAATTTTGACTTTTAGACAGGGAAGATGCAAACAACCCACCCACATGTTCCTTCAGGGGTTTTAACGACATCAATTATGGTTGACCAAATTTATGCTGAAAGCAATGGATCGCATGAGTTTTCCCTATGGAAAAATTACATGGGAAATATTGTTTTCCACTTTATCTAATTAAAAGGAATGACTTATTTCTTTTAAGGGGGTTAACTGTGTCTCAAAACGCAACATATTGATGCAACAATAATTGAAAAAGCAGGGGTGGAAGGGGTTGAAAATCAGGACAATTTTCCAGAAAAACACGTAGGTGGGTTAGTTGTTTGCACCTTCCCTGTCTCAAAGTCCAAATTATCTAATCATCTCTATGAGTGCTTTTCCTGTATGTAATGCATTGTCCTAACATATAAACCCGTTTAAATCCTCAGAAAACAGACAAAATCCAACATATGACTGTTTGAAATCTGTTGCTATGCTTTCCGTTCTCCATTCAACAATTTCGCCTTAATTATTATTTTCTCGTGTTTTCAATTTTGCAATGGTTGATTTGATTCTCGGAAGACATTTTATTTGATTGTGTTTTAATGTTTTAGGTCTGGATAAACCTGTTTGCCTTGCACCATGATGAAAAGATATTTGATGAACCATTGAGTTACAAACCTGAGAGATGGCTAGATGATTCTGGTGAATTGGTGTCTATTGAAAAGAGAAATAAGTATGAAGAAAAGCCGAGCTATTTTGAAAACCTTTAAATTGTTACACTCAGCAATACGGACTTGAGCATGTGCGTAACCCAACTTCCATCAAATATTTGAAAATTAAACATTTTTGTCTCACAATTTAGAATATTTCTCCATTCAAAGGACAACTGTCTGATAACAACGTCGTAATATCGTAGGTATGCAGATGACATTTGTAAACCAGTATTCATATCTGTATTTCAGACGCATGCCTCTAACACATAGGCTGAACTGAAAGTTACCGTTTCTGAAGGTCAAATAAAGTTATTTGACGAATTGTATGTTACATTGTATGTATATCAAGAAGTATTTATTCATTTCAGAATCATCCCATCTGGCGCAGGTCGTAGAGCGTGTGCAGCAGAACAGTTTGCGAGAGCGAGAATGTTTTTGTTCCTCTCCAATATACTACAAAGATTCACAATCGTTCAACCTGAGGACGCAAAGCCACCTAGTGCTGACCCCAGAAATTACACACTGGGAATCATACTCGAACCAGGACCATTTACTATCAAAGCCATACCACGCTAATCTATTTCAATCAGAGATGAGATAAAAAATCAATAGTTTTGCACACTATGCACTGAATCCCGACGACGTCACGGGTTTTTAGCATGTTTAAAGATTACCTTACTCGCATAGGCCAAGCTGCCCTAATTCATGTCACCATACTAGTCAATGGGCAAAAGGGCAAACGCCTGACTTTTTATCTCGAGTTATGGATTTACGTGGCCTCACTGGCCTATCTGAGGTTCTAAACCTATGTCTAAGCTACATTTTGACACTAAACTCAATAGGGGCCAATCATCTACTTTTTGAAATAATTGGTCAATTGTGACACTACCCCCTCTCTCTGCCGACAGTAATTGAAATTCATAAAAATGAAGGCAAAATTAATACGCCACTTGATTCGAAATTATCCTTCAGATAACCCAAATAAACGCATTTTCAGAAGAAATGGCATGTTGTCATTGCAAAAAGATGACAACTGTGCCTACATACTATGATTTAGGTTTCTAAGCTATAAGTTTGAGGTTATTTTTTTATCAATGCCAAAAAATATGTAATCAGTGTATCGACGTTTTGTATTGTTTCTCAGATATAAATAAGATAAAGGCTACAAATGAATCACTTTTATATTGGAATGACAAATGTTTAAATTATGCTAGATTTTCACAAAAGGGGTCTCAATACGTTTTGAGATATGGACTTTTATTCAGCGGTGAAAATTATCAATAAAGGAGGGTCTATTGCTCTTCCTTGACTAATTGGGACTACAGCTAAAATTATATTTCCCGTAGTTAGATATAGCTCAGTTGCTTATAAAACAACCATCAAGACTTGATCGAATTCATGAATAATTGAGAAAAATCGTTATCATTATCTTCCTAAAATTTGATTGTATCAGATCAGATCAGATCAAAAAACTTGATGATAGCCACAAATAACGTCGAGGAAGAATTTCAAGGCGTTCGATTACACATGACTCTAATTGATTATTAGACATGCCCTTGGAATATAGTACCCCACACATAATTTTGTCGCCAACTTCAATTTAAGATTAAAGTACTTTCCTACGTACATATCTTCATGAAATTTAGCATACTTAAACGTGAACATATTTCCAACACTCAATTTTTTTTATTTTACAAACGGATACCAGGTGTTCACTTGAGACTGACAGCAAACTGCTACATTGTTTTACATTTTCCCTCTTATTTTGCACTTTTGACCTCTTTCGGTACTGGTTTAAGAAAACTGTTTTGAATTAAATCTGTTCAGTTGAAGTGTAACAATGAAATGGAAAAAAAGGTTTTCCAAAGGGGAACAAAACCCCTCTTCTATTTACTTCATGTACTTCATGTGTACAAGAATATATACACCAAGAAGGCGAAGTTCGATTTTAGAACAGTTAGACCAAGGCAGATCCAAAACCAATGTTGCTGGAAACCATGGAATAAATATCAGAACTGTTCAGCGGATTGCATCTACTAACCAGAACTCACCTCAGCAACGGGGTCCAAAATTGAAGATTGTACCAAATTCAGAAGTTGAAGATGTCTTATTTGACATCGCAGATCATGAGCCATTCGCACGGATAACGGAGATTAATGAGAAATTTTCCCTTGAAACAGGTGTTGTCATCAGCAATGAGACAATTAAACGTGTGTTATACAGGCGTAATGGAGGGGAGTTTGTATTTGTTTCTCCAGACAAATCATGTGAGGACCGTAATCTCAGTCAAATATATGACATGCACCTTGGATTTATCGAAGGGTTAAATACCGCATTGAAAAATCACAAATTAACATTAGACGATATTTACTATCAGGACGAATTTCCAATCTTCGAAAACAAGCTCCCCTCGAAAGGCCGTACGCGCAAGGGCACCAAGCTCTATGCTCGCTCGGCATACAGACCCACCCGCTACACATGTTCTGCAGTGATATCAAGATCCAAAGCTGTTAAGGTGTCCCTGACAAAAAAGAATGCTGATGACTCTGTTGTTCGAACATTTGCTATTGCCTCAGAGTCCAAGAACAGAAATCTTGGAGGTCCTGGGCTGCATCGACTTCTACCAAGAGGGGCTTTTTTGGTATGGGACAGGCTTGGACGATCTGGAAGAGCACAGAACCCATGTAAACAGCACTATAACCCACAAATTAAAGCAAAATTGGAAGAAGCAGGGATAAACGTGGTAATGCTCCCCCCTAAAGGCCATCTTCTCAACCCTTCCGAATTGTTTAACAATTGTATCCAGCAAAAAGTAGTACGTTGGCGACCGCCAGGTGACCCCACCGATGAGTACGGCCATGCAATCGTTGGGCCATGGTCGTTTGATGAGTGTGCTATGGCAGTGAATGATGCCCTGGATGAAATGAAGGGTAAACCTGAAATGTTTCACGAGTTTTTTAATAAAAGAGCAACTGGAAGGGACTTTCTGAATCGTGTTGCAAAAAGCTCTGTGGCAAAGAATGTAAAGGCTCGAAGGTCCAGGGCTGGCATTGCCAATCGCCAAATATTCTCATGGCCAGCACGTCGCAATTAAGAGTTGAACCCGTGGACGGATTTATTAGAGTTTAAAGCTAATAATATGAACTGAATTTGCAAAATACAAACTGGAATTTTCATTATAGAATAACTTCAAATATAGCCATGTTCAGCTAAACAGTAGTAAAAGTACATTTACAACATGCAAAACTAAAACATTCAAGAATACAGTTAAAAATGCTAAAATAGCCTAATTTGAGGCAATTTTGCAAAATGATACTGCATTTTGAAAATGTTGTTAAAAAATAAATAATAAGTTTTATGTTAAATAAAAAAATTTGAGTGTTGGAAATATGTTCAAGTTTAAGTATGCTAAATTTCATGAAGATATGTATGTAGGAAAGCACTGAAATCATAAATTGAAGTTGGCGACAAAATTATGTGTGGGGTACTATGAACATTCCAATACCTCTGTAACATTTAATTAGATATAAATCTTACCTATTTGTTATTGTATTATGTTTTGTAAAACATGAACAATAATTTGCTATTATATTCGACCCCTTGCGATTATAAGGAAAAATTCTGGTAATAAAATGTTTTAAATGGTAAGAAAACGAATATGTTCCCAATCATAAATTACCTAAATAATCCACATAATTTCGTTGAATCGGCTTGGGTCATATTTGAAAAATCAAACAAAATCTGAAAAACACACTTGCATAATTACACTAATTAAACACCGACATCTACGGTAAAATTAAATAGTATATTTTTAAATTATGATAATTTATTTTTGTTCGTATGCTTAGAATAACGGTCTGTGTCTTATAAAACGTATAAAAGTTCGAATCAAAATATTTACGTTTTTGACCCCTTGTGATGAAAGATGTTTTTCGACCCGAAAGCCGGAAGTTTTTTCAGCAAATGGTATTTTAAAAGAATCAATTCATGTACACTTTTATAAATATTGTTTCAAATGTTGCTGCGCTATAGTGTGCTACGGATCCTTCATATTCGGAAGTCATACCATGGACTATTGGGGCTTTCTGACTTTAAAACAAACCCTTAGCTAAATGAATTGTCGTCTCGGGATGGTTTTTGTATATAGTTTTTATAAAAAATTCTGGAAAATAACACACCATTTTGTCTCTCCGATTTCAGTCATAAATTACGTGAATATAGCATTAACACTTTTGGGTGGACGTTTTCATTACCAAATGTCCAAATGTCCAAAGGTATTCGAATGATATTGATTGGACATCATGTTGCAGAGAGTGGCTCCATGAAAAATAAACAACTTGCGTTATCACATGCAGACGGAGCCTGTGAGAAATATTGGGTGCGGCATGAATGAGCGGATGGTGCGGATTTAACAGTCATTTTAGAATTTGAATTTGTAATATATCTGAAACTAAGCCATTTTGGGTCTTCAAATATATCCATATGTGTGAAGTTGACACTTAATATCAATAAAATTGTGAAAATAGTAGTGTAATTCATTCTACAGCAACGCAGTATGCATTATACCTTTGCATTATATTTTGAAATTGTCGTTTTTAGTCACCAGCATTCATAAACAAGGCATTAATATGACAAAATGTCATCACCTAGTTGCTTACAATAATGCTTATTATGAGTTCAATCTTTAAGTCAGATTTGAATTTCTGAGAACTTGTAGATGATTTTGAAAAAATAAATTGGTCAATTTGAAGCAAGTTGAAAAAATACCTTTTTACCCTGAGAAGGTCAGATTTGAACTTCTGACAATTTGTAGATGATTTTGAAAAAAAGATTGGTCAATTGATGATTTGCGATCACCGAATGGATTCTGTCTTTTAGTGACGTCACAATTAGGTCACCCAGCCGGATGCTTGATTTTGAGAGATTATCTTCTATATTTCGTGCTTTATTGATTTATTTTTCACGAAAGCGTTCTATTTGACTAGATCAACATTCATGCTAAGCACATACCAAGTCTAAGGTCTTACTGACATGATTTAGATAGCGGTTTAGCGCCCCCCGATTTTGACAAAAACGGGGGGCGCTTATAGGCATCGATGTTTAGTATGAATTTCACCCAAACTTCGCATATATATAGACATACTCATGATCTAGTCAAATCGGCATACCTGGTAAATATCCGACCCATGGTTTTTATATAAGAAACGACAATATTTTTAGCTCAAAACTGCCACGTGTCCGCCATTTCGTGATTCCATCATGTCTAATATCATTTCTATATGACGTCATACCAATAAGACGAAATACGTGACAACATTATCCATAAACAAAATTCCTGAATTCTGATCGCAAAAGGTCAATTTGAACATGGGCTTTCAAGAGGCCTTGGGAATGTCATTGAATGTCAAATCTATGGTCAGATTTGAACTGTTGAGAACTTGTGTATTATTTTGAAAAAAATGGTTAATTTGTTAAGTTATTGGAAGTTGTAAGAATTTGTTACAGACGCCGATCGCCAACCACCAATCAATCACCAACCGCCATCCGCCGACCGCCGTCAAAAAACGGAGACCACAACAGCATGTCGCCACTTTTTGGTGGTGACATAAAAATGGTGTTCAAGACACACTATCCAATCAAAATAATTTTTTTGCATCTTGGAAGTCAGGCAGTTTCTGCGTGACTTTATGAATAATTGGAAATGTTCAACAAATATGAGCCCCCTATTTGGTACGGAAAACTCAATATACATAAAAAATGTCCTCCGATGATATTATGATAGTTTGTGTTTGTCTGTTGTGAGACCACTTGAACCACGTCAACTGCTTCACCAAACTTCTATACATACTAAGAAATACGTTCATGTTCATGTTTGTGACGGAAAGCGTAGTTCATTTAAACAAGGTGTTGCTTTCCAAAAGCACGAGATGCGGAGCATCGAGTGTTAACTTTAGGGGACAACGCCTGGAAGGAATGGTTATTACACAATGCATTGAGTCTTGGGCTTAAATTGTTTTCACACATTGCAAAATATTTGGCACAAAATCATCCAAAAGATCACTTAAAATCACTTAAAGAACATATTTTCATCCAAGGGTCGAGCTGGCAAAAGTATCAATTTCAGTTTGTAGAGTCCAGTCATCACCATGACAACCTGTTTAACTAGTAACCTTGAGTTCGTTATTTGCTATATAACCGAATGCAGTTACGTGAAATGGCGTGTTCTGATTGGCTGGCATTTGACACACCTTTCCAAGCTGTTAGAACAAATGATATTTTCATTAATCGTTATAATAAAGGTGTGGTTATACTATATAATATTCTGCTTTTGTTTTCATTTCGAAAATCAATTGAAAATCATTCGAGACCAAAATCACAAGAACGTGGCATTAACAATTGTGAGCTCTTTTGTTATACGATTATATCTATTTCATAATTTTCTTAGAACCTCTCTAGTTATCCACAAGGTTTCGATTTTTGCAGTTTCTATTTCCTGTACCCTTATGTTCATATATTATAGAATTGCATTTACACCAATTTTCAACATTTCTAAGCACTTACTTATTTGTCCGATGTGAAAGTCGTACATATTATGAATGCAGATTTGTTTTTATTTGTTTAGTCACTTTTCTAAAAGATTCTGTTGATGTATCTTTTATTGAAAATTGCTTGTAGGGATTCGCATTCAATGCTCCTCCAACACAAAAATAATTGTGCAGCATGTTACTTTTCTTGGTATTCTTCCATGCATTTCCTGAACGGTGTGACTTTGAACATTTTCTGATTAGAAAAATACGGGCCAACTGACTTTTTTGACTTTTTTCTATGTCAGAGTACTAATATGGTACCATATATTTCTAAAATGTGTACCTCGGCATGAATTGTAATGACTTTGCTAATTCATATTTGTCGAGGTATTTTTGGTTTTGTTGATTCTGATGATGATAAGGGGTCTTCAGTCATGTTTGACTAATGCCACTTGCTCTTCGGTGTTGTTGCGCTTTTTTATAATCTTTGTTTTTCCATAAGGCAACTGTTTAACGGAAAATGTATGACATCCTGCTTGGCTCACTTTTTGCCTCGTCTATTCAGATTTTCTTCTCCCATTCAAAGGATTGGTATCGATATGGAGAACTGAATTCAACAATGTTTTTCTCTTAAACCAATCATAGAAAACATTCTGTAAAAAACAAGGTATTTTATGTAATGTTGACTGATTGACAACAATTTAATGCGAAAATTATTTAGAAATATTTTATATAACTGTTTTTGTTAACATTTTTTGTTTCTTTTAGTGCAATTGTTTTTGCTCCTTTCTACCAATTCTTAAGAATGAAATAAAATGTCTTTCCGAGCCTTGTTTGAACAAAATAGCATATACAACATGTTTTTAGACCTCTCAATATTACAGTTATACAAAGGAATTTTTGGTTGATTTTAAAAAAGTATTCAAAAATTAAAACAAAAGCCCCCAAAATAGATAAAAATCAAGATAAATCTTTTATTTCATTAACAAGATATTTTTTTAGAATCAACCAAAATTTCCTTTGTACAATTACAATATTGAGAGACCTAGACATGTTGTGTTTATATCGTTTTGTTCCAATGTGGTTCGCCAAGATGTTTCATTTCACTCTGGAAACATGATACCAAGAACAAAACAAGTGGTTGATGTGATTTCTAAAACAATATAGATGTAAGTAACAAATCTTGAAATTTTTAAGAAGATTCCATGAATATTAAAACTTTTGCAATAACTTGGAGGATAATTGCGCGTATTTATCGCGTGAATCTTCGCATTTTTGTCGGTAAAATGAACAATTACAATGTTACGCCGTGATGTACAGTATCTGACGTCGTATCTGTATATTTTTCAAATTATATTGTTACAATTCAAAAGATGACCATTAAATTGACAATGTGTTAAATTTCTAGATTTTTTTATGACTTGTTTAAGAGAAACGTGTGTTCAAAAAGTTCTCCATATCGATACCACTCCTTTGCCTCGCCTATTCACATTTGCCTCTCACATTCAAATTTGCCTCGCCTATTCAAATCAGCAATCTGATTTCTGTTATCAGTCAAAGATGGTAACCATCCCCTAAACCCCACAGTCAAAATGACCAAATGTGTTTTAAACTCTTAGTTTTCAGATTTTTGCTGAGGGTGTAACAAAAACCTTTTGAAACCTTCATATAAGTCAATACAGGCCCCATGCATTAATTCCGAATATAAGAGCAATTGATTACAAAAAATCATTAAATACCAAAATTCGTTTGATTCTAGATCCTGCTGCCTTATAAAGTCACATCATATTGTATGAGAAGGAGACGTGTGTCATCGATTTGCCAAGAGAGAGAGAGAGAGAGAGAGTGGTTATAAAAATGCAATAATTGTAGATAACCGAATTTTTAAAAGTCATCTCATAATTGTTACATTAAAAAGGTAACTATGGTTACTAAGAGTGATATCTTAAGAACCACGTGTGGAATAAACGTGACTATTTACCTACTGTTCGCATGGCAAGGTACGTATAAGTCGGCATGAGTAGAATTTGAAATATTAAAGGGTATCATGGTTGGGAGACCTTTTGGCGTCCTTGATTGTTTACCTGAGATTTTCTCAAGGACACTGTGATCATTTTTATTAAATGTGGGAAATCGTTTTCAACACCTTAAGATACCTTGACAAATTGGCATCTAAACTTGTAGATGTAGAATAATAGGCTAAGAGAAACATATTACATTTAGACTACATTTCTATGTTAAGGTTAGAAAACTGGTGAATATACAAATATAATTTCTGTGAAATTCTGATGAGGTGGTTTCCTCACTGCAAAGCTCTCAATGATCATTTAAAGTATCGTACATTCCGTTTTGAGATATAAGCAGGTGACAACAAACAAGGCACATGACGTGAACGAGATCACACCATCAAAAAACTTTCAAAATGGATGTCAGAAATTAATAAGCTCTAGGACTATCCTCAATCATGTGTGCGAATTTGGAGACAATCTGACAAGCAGTTTTCCTGAAATGGCGATGACAAGATTTATCAGAAAAATGACAAAAAGCCGGACGATCACGATAACGAGCACGACTACTATGACGACTATATCCCACCGATGGTGTGATAAAAACATATTATTTTAGCAAAGAGAAAAATGAAAAATAAACATATTCAATGACCAAGACCAGTCATGTCCTCCAATGGGAATTAGAATAGAATTATTTTTTTACCTAATGATATGATAATTTCAATACATCAGATGATGCACTACTTTTCAGACATATGCAGTGTCGAGGCCGGAAATATATGTCCAAGCGTTATTGGATATGTACTTCCATTGAAAGGTGGCCACGGCAATCATTTAAACATCCTTACTAACTTCACGATCCCCTGTTCTGGGTTCATAGTGGGTTGGGAGTACCAACGTGTGACAAAAAGTGAGCCATTCTGGATAGCTGTACTGACACCATTGGGGAATAGGTTATTTACGGTCCGACATATTGTAGAGATGCCAGCAACAGAGATAGGTTTTAATCGAATAATAAGACGCCAAGGTCTTAAGGTAATGAAGCACGTACTTCGCTTAATCGCTTGATTGTACTTTTTCATTTCAGAAAGCGTGAGTAATTATATGATATATTGGTTATTGTTTTCATTTTACTTCCATTTTCATTTGTAAAGGGGATGGGGGGGGGGGGAGGGTGGGCATCGAGGTATGATTTTTCTTTTTTCCTTATTTCAAGAGTTGAATACAAGGCAGAATCTTTACGACATTTTTATAACAAACGTATGTCAGTATCATATGTTTAAGAAAATCAACGTTTTTGCGAATAAATAGTTCAGAAGTTGATGGAATCATCGATATGATACCTCACTATTGTTACGTAAACAGAACTGGGTGTTAAACGTGCAGATCTTAACCGTTTTTGAAGTTACTTCAACGAAACAAAAAGTTTGGGAAATTCTGCCTACAGCTCGTACAATAAGTAACAAACAGTTTCGGGAACGAATTTGAACAGTGCAGTGCCAGTGAGAAAAGAATGAAAGTTAAGAAAGTTAACCGTTTATCATTCTCTTAGGTGGACCATGGTGATGTCTTGTCCGTTATATTCTCTAACCAAACCACACAAGGTGGAATAGCAAACGAACGGGATTACGTCCAATCACCTTTGTTAGAACCAGACCAGTACTATAGTGTATTGGCAGTTGGTCAACGCTATTTCGTTGAAAATACTAATATTAATGACGTTCTAGATATGAATCAACAAGACGTAAAGGAGATTGCAAGAGGATACGCATTCAGGCCTCTGCTTTCTTACGGTAAGCTATTAACAGTTACACGTTACCAGTTAAGAAAAGTTTTACATAGAATCCGACTTGTTTGTCTTATGCAAAATAAAACGTTGACATTCTCAACTTATTGCATTTATTGCATTATTATCACATATACACTGTACAGAGTGGGCCAAAAATGCCAAATTTTTCTAGAAAGCTTTGCCTAAACGCGAACAGAAACACTAGAGAAATGTATATTGTGTTAAACTGTGTTCAAATCTTAAGAATCTTAAGTGTTTTTTCAAAATGAGAGTTAAGCTTCATGAATCACGAACCATGTTTCTGGAGAAAAGTTTCAAAGTTCTTAGGTTATCATATGGCATTGATATCACTTAATGCAATAATCATATTATGGTTCATGTCTTTGAGACTAACAATAGGTCAAACAATACCTTATGCAAATCATCCCTAAGTATAATGGATGATTGAGAAAAAACACTTTGATTGATCACAATCTAATGCCCGGATCCTAAATAAACCTTAAATATCATAAAATTGTATGATATAGGCCTGTAAACGATATTCAGGTAAAATGCAAACAGCCTCTAAAAGTTGACATTTTGCCGCACCCTGTACAGTGTGTATGAGGCTGCCGAAACCTATGGACGATACTTAACATAATGATGGATACTTTGAAATAATTTGTTTGTAGAGTCAGGAAGAGCGTTTACTGTAATAAAGGTGGCGGGGGACTCAACTGTTATTGATCACGTCATTAGTAAATTTGCTGTTAGAGGTAACAAAGAATGCGCTAAGTTGTGCCTAGAGGAGTGGAGATGTCTCTCCTACAGCTACATAAAACTGGCAAAGGAGTGTGTGCTACACGATGTCGACGATAAGGATAACTCTGTGATTCAAGTAGAGCAAGGGACCGATTTTTACGCTGTTTATTCTATGTAGACCTAAATGTAACTTGCTAATTATAAGCTACGGCGTATTCTGGTATGAACGTTTTACGGTCTCCTGGTACGGTCTTCTCTTGGTCTTGGCCAAACCCGGGTGGCCAAATCGTGAAAAGTAACAAATGATGTCAAGTAACATCTTTATTTCATTTGTCCCTTTTTGCAAACATTTAATCTAAAAATCCAGTTTTTTTCCTATCTGAAATATTGATGCAGACACGCATTTCCGAAAATTGCAATACAACTTAACTTGAAAAACAGCCACTCCACGGAGTAGCAAATCCCACCGAACGAAACGTATTTTGATGATTAGTGGCCATCTTAAAAGTTGAACAGAGCATTAGAGGTGAAAAACGATTTTCAAAACTCTGTAACTTTAATGTTCACAAAGTAAACTAAACACTTAGCGTGCAAATAGTAAGACATGCAATTCAATTTTCCATGTCAAAACATTTTTAGGTAAATCTTTTACTAAATAGATATCATGTGATCTGAATTATGAGAGAATAAATAAATAAATTTCGAAATGTATACTTCCTAAATAGCATCACATGGCCTGATGGCAGCACAGGTTTTTAAAAATGCATCGTTAATGCATGGAATTAAATTAGATGGTTGAAATAGTATGATACCTTTTACTTGCTATAGAATGCAGTATGTTATACAGAGGGAATTTATTGTTTGTTGTGATGGTCAGCTGGAGACAATAATCTTTAAAAAATCTTATCAACTAGTGGGAAAAAATATTTGGAGAATTAAACAATATTTTCAAACTCTGCACGAGGCCTTCAACCAAAATTCCACGTTGTGTATCGCGAACAATTTTGGACAGTTGTATTTGCACTCGATCTTCTTCAAAAGTTTGTCTCCAATCATTTGCCAGTTTCAAAACTATTGTAATCAGATATAATTACTGAACAAAATCAAGATCAAAACGACCCTGATTTACGATTCTATGACAATTTCCGGTCGCTAAATATTTGGAGGGATGTGTGTATAAACCAGTTTCTTTAAGAATAAAATAATCATCACCAATGTTACTGTTTTTTGCCATTTAATACCGTATACTGTCGATCGGTTAAGTATTTGTACTAATGTTGTATGGACCAAGATCTTACCAATTTTACCTTATTTGATGTTTTCATTTATCGTTCATGACTAGAATGAATAAACGTGTGGTTATAGTTTAAAATATTCGGCTTTTGTTTTCATTTCGCAAATCAATTGAAAATCAATCAAGACCAAAATTGTTAGAAAGCGGCATTAACAAAAGTAAGCTATTGTCTTATATTACATAGTTTACTTAGTACTTCTCCACTTTTGCACCAGATTTCGATTTTTGCAATTTCTATTTCCTGTACCCTTAAGAGTATACAAATGCAATTTCCATCATGTGTAATCTACTCGAGTCCTGTGTGCTATTTGTAAATATCATGAATGTCCATCTATCCTCCAAGACAAAACAGATTTGGAAGCACATATTACTTCTCCCTGGATTGTCCTATACGTTTCATGAACAATGGATGATTTTGAATCTATTCTGATTGGGAGAAGAATACGCTATTGACCTTTTTATGCCAGAGTATATTGGGAATGTATATTTCTAAAATGTGTGTCCTGACATGTTTTGTACATAATGACTTTACTTTGGTTTTGATTTGTCGTGGTCTTTTTGGTTTTGTTGATTGTGATAGTGACTGATAAATGATCATGGGCCATGTTTTCCCGATGACTCTCGCTCCTCGCTGTTGTGACGTTTTGTTATAATTGTTGATTATATGTACTTACAATACAACGTTATCGAGGCAACTGTTTAAATATATGACATCCTCTTTTTGCCTCGCCTCTTCAAATTTGCCTCGTTGGAATCATTGGAAGAGAATAATCATCTCAGTGTGATGGTAAACCATTGACCTTGTAATGATTTATCTCGATGTGTTGTGACATAGTTTGATTAATTTTTCTCAGTTATATCATAAATATGTTATATCCTATTGAAATATTTTCAATGTTCTCATAGAGTTTTACTTGTACATTGAGTGAACATATCGATAATTTGACATTCGATAAAAACGTAGTCTTGTTGGAGGATATAGTTTCCGTTTATATTCTTCTTGTATAACAGAGATGTTGATTTTATTGAAAGACAAGAACATTTTGCCAGAGATCTGATTTTGAAAAAGTAGATAAAGTATTTCTATTTTGTTGGAACGGTCTACCACATTATTAAAATTTCCCGCCATTTTTCAAATAAAAGTTGAAATTTTTAATCACCAAATGTTCGACTATCCAGTGGAAAACACATTAATTTTTACATTTTAACACTATTGCGAAGATTAAACAAAACTTATTACAATAATAAAATGTCATATTGAATGTGCCACTTAAATGTTGCAGCATATCAAAAAATGTTGCACCCTAAGTGACATCATCGTGAAGTCTCATCGTGATGTCATTTGGGGTGCAGGCAGTTTTTGAAAAAATTCCTCGGGTTTCAATGAGAAATAATTAAAATTTCAAAATGAATATTTCTTTGAACCATTTTCATGCATGGAGAAGTTCATTTCTCGCTGACCAATTTCTCGACAAAAGTTAAGTGAGGACTGAGGTGATGGTGATGGCCATCTCTTAAAACCAAGAATTACCAAATACATAAATACTTAGTGCGATATCAACTCCTGGCATCGATAAATGCACCTAAAATAAGAGCAATAGTGAATAAAAATCATTAAATACCGAAATTAGAAATTTAAACCTGTCAATTTGTCAATACTATTTTGATTTGGGATCCTGCTGCCTTTTCTAAGTATGAGAAGGAAACATGTGCCATCGATCATTTGCCAGGGCAGAGAGAGAGAAACTAATGCAATGGAGCGGGAGTGGTAATGAAAATACAAAATATGTAAATAACTGCAAAGGATATATTTAAAAGTCATCTCATAATTGTAACATTGAAAAGTAACTATGGTTGCTAAGAGTGATATTTTAAGAACAAAGTGTGGAATAAACGCGACTATTTACCTACTGTTCGCATGGCAAGGTACGTATAAGTCGACAATAGTAGAATTTGAATTAAAAAGTGCGCCACTATTGAAGAATCTGTTGGCGTGCTTCCGAGGACACTTTGACCCCGACTTTGACTACGATACGTTGGGATTTTTTATCAATTGTGAGAAATCATTTTCAACAACTCTAGATATATTGACATCTTGACTGACTTATTTTCGTTTCTCACACAAAAAGGCAATATCGGAGGGTGACTCGTGTTGAAGCTGATTCCGTTTAAGAAATTGGCAACTGAAAAAAGCATGACATTTCTACAAATAGAACAAGTCACCACGTGCCATTTTACAGGCGCCGGCCGCCGTACGTCAACCGCCAGACGTCGTCACAAAAACGGAGACCATATTTCACTAAATGTACAATAAGGGAAACATGATGTAATCGAGTTATCTAACTCTGTTTTAACAAGGACAACAAGGCATTATGCAAATTGTCACTACATGCCATTTGTTACAGACGCCGACGCCGTCATAAAAAAAAGGAGACCATAACAATATATCACAACCGTATATAGCAATGTCCTTACAATATAGATAGGACGTAGAATGCAATTATTTTTACAAGAACTTTTTTATAAGAACTTTGGCCTATTTATGACAAGTCACTTATGTAAAATGATCCATATACTTTTCAGGCTTATGCTATGTCGAGGCCGGAAATCGATGTCCAAGCGTGATTGGATATGTACTTCCATTACAATCTAATCATGGCAGGTATCTAAATATTCTTACCAACTTCACAATCCCCTGTTCCGGGTTCATCATTGGCTGGGAGTACCAACTTGTATCAAATAGTGAGCCATTCTGGATAGCCGTGTTAACACCATTGGGGGACAAGTTATTTACGGTCCGGCATATTGTAGAGATGCCACCAATACAAGTCGGCTTCAATCGAATAGAAAGTCAGGGGCTGGAGGTAATGAAGCACTTCGTTTGATCGTATTCTTTCACTTTCAGAAAAATATGATAATATATTAATATGATATCTTCGTAATTGTTTTCATACTATATTCAAGTTTGTCCCCTTAAATACAGCATTTGAGAATTAGAAATAATTTGATTCTTTGTCAATTATGTCTCAGATTTAATTCTACACAGAAAGAAACGACAAATTGTCTGGTTGTTATTTTGTTTTACTTTCCTATGCTGTTTCTCAAAATACATTCGCCATTTTCGTCCAGTGTGCACATTTTTTTATAAATATCATACGCATAATTAGATTATACTTGTAAACGTGTTCCATCTCTTGAAATATGCAGATATGGATGAAAAAATTACAAAGATAAAGGACCATATATTGTTACAGAACACACCAATAAGAAGAAAGCATCTGAGACAGTAGTACACGCGTTACAATGAAAACACTAACTTTCCAAAACCATTATCTAACGTGATCAGAAACAATGTCTAATACCCCCTCCCCAACCATTCAAATACCATTATCACAATCCGGGACCACAAAACCAAAATACATTTTATTCATACTGAAGTCATAACAATACATTTCAAAGAATAAAGGACGATTTTCGGTTTGGAGAACCAAATTCATCTGCAAAGATTATCAACGTCGCCAAAGATTTTCAAATTTTAAGGTTTTGTAGATTCAAATGTCCTGTTTCGCACACTTAAGTTTTAATTGATGGTATTATTTTTGATTTTTCATGAAAATATTAGCGAACCCCCTACGTCGATTTTTGGCGACATTGATAAAGTCGAAAAATGCAGATGAATTTGGTTCTCCAAACCGAAAATCGTCTTTGGTTTTCCAAACCGAAAATCGTCCTTTATATTGAACATGTATTGTTAGATAATCTAATTGGTATTAGCCTAATGTCATTCTGCTGCACTCTATGGACTTTTAGCCAAGATTATACACTGGCCTTACATACAATACACATATTTGTTTGTGCTTCCGTTGCCTGTTCGAAATGAAAACGTGTTATTGTAAATTGAGCTCTTAACAAATCGAGAGTGTAGATTAAATGCGAGGTTGGAACGAAAGTTAACAGTGATTGTGAGATTTCTATTATTCTTATAGGTGGACCGTGGTGATATCTTGTCTGTTATATTCTCTGACAAAACCCAAAAAGGTGGAATAGCAAACGAGCAAAGTAAAGTCAAATCACCTATACTGAAACCAGACCAGTACTATGATGTCTTGGCAACTGGTCGTCACTATTTTGTTGAAAATACTAATGTTAATGACGTTCTAGATATGAACCGAGATGGCGTTGTAACGTTGACAAGAGGGTATGCATTCAGGCCTCTACTTTCATACGGTAAGCTGTCGACACATTAAGTCGAGATAAGTTATCGGAAAAGAACATTTCATTGAAATATTCTTATTTTGTTGCACTTAGTAATATACAGAATGGTCGAAAATGTCATTTTCTGAGAAACATTGTTCGTTAGAAAACTAGAAAGAAAACTATTGTGTCAAAAACTGTGTTTAAGTTTTTAAGAATTCTAATGTATTTTCCAAAATTATAGTTCATGTTACTAATATAATTTAAACCTTATAAAATTATTATATGGTTCATCGCTTTGAGACTAACAATAGGCCAACCCCTACGTAAAATAAGGACTGGGAAATAACAGCTTTTTGATTGATCACAAAGCAAAAATTTATATCGAAATTTCTTGGATCCTGGATAAACCTTAAATTGTACTATATCCCGGCAACCACCACCAATGCATATGGATTTGTATTAGTATTTGATTACAAATGATATTCGGGTGAAATACAAACCCTTACCCCGCACTCTGTACATGATGTTAACTATACTAAGTATAGCAATGCTTTTGTATATCGATACTTTACATTATGAATACTTCGAAGCAATTTGTTTGTTAGATATACCTCCAAAAAGATCGTTTACTGTCGTAAAGGTGGCGGAAGACTCGACTGTTATTGATCACGTTATTAGAAAATTTGCTGTTAGAAGTAACAAAGAGTGCTCTGTGTTGTGTCTAGAAGAGTGGCGTTGTCTCTCCTACAGCTACATAAAACTGGCAAAGGAATGTGTACTGCACGATGTCGACGATAAGGATGACTCTGTGATTCAAATAGAGCAAGGAACCGATTTATATTACATCACATCTTGATGGTTTGACCAAGTGATATGCTTCTAGCGACAACAACAAAAATGAGCTCTGTTCTATCCCTACATATACTCACGAATAGAGCTGTTAATTTATTTATACAAGGCTACTATACATTGAATTGATCGGCCCGAATTTGTTCATTAGTTGAGACTAAGTCAAGTCTTTTTTACTTCTGAATTAGAGTTGCATCTTTACAGGAAACTATTTTTGTATATCAGACTTTTACCTCATATTTTACAGCAGCGTGTATCTTGTAACTTCACGAAAAATATGATTTACTCCTATGCAAAATTAGATGTTTGTTGTTGGTATACAATAAACTATTGACCTTAAATTTCTTTGACTCTCATGGCGACCACCTGGAAATTTGGACAATGTAATTGGAAATAATTCATTTACACAGAGGATGTTTCCATCAGGAAGCCCGAACGGGGGCTATCGTTTTTGTAGTTATTATCTATTTCAAGAGGCCCATTAAAGAGCCACCTATGGTTTTGTAGTTATTATATTTATTCATTTATTATTCTTTTTAGCACGTTGTTGTACTTCATGCTCCTATTAGGAACTTGGGCTGGACTTGTAGGGAAATAACTTCATATAATATGAAGGTCAAGCTCCAATGTCAAAATCTAGGTCTATTCTCGATTTTTTAAGTTATTCAAAATTTGTCCTTTTACATGTTACACTTCATTATTTCTTGAAATCAATTCATTTGTAACTGGATTTTAGCATAGATTGTCCCCATAATTCTTAAAAAGCTATAACATAATACGCTGAACGATGCGGTTTGTTTGAATAAGTCAAAAACACAATTTATCAGGCTCAACACAGCATATCTGTGGTCATCTCATGGTCCATTATCTGACTTGAGTTAAACATATTTCAAACATATTTCTGATTTAAGACCCCATATTCCATGATCTACATGAACCAGCTGTTCCAAAACATAAGACAAGAAAACGTTTGTTTGGGTAATGAAAAACTTTTACATTGAATGTATGCGGACATAACGACGAATTGCTTTTGACTTCCATCTACCCATTTTTGAAACTTGTTCTTCAGAACATCGGTGTTTAGAGATTAAATCTGTTGTTCTGCCGATACGAAAACAATGCGATGAATATCTTGATTTATCCAGGCCTGCGCCCAATACAGCAGATTCCAATAATTTGCAGAATTGCTGTCTCGTTACTGGACTTCCATCCTTATGAATAAACAAATGCTTTTTAGCATTTTGGCCTCTCAATTTTATATATTCTCGCATTCGTCTAACGGCACAAATCATCTTGGATGGATTATGTTCGATGTGAAGTCGAAAAGGTAAATTAGATGTATTATGCTTATAGTCTTCGAAAGTTACGATGATGTATTTTTTACTCAATTCAATACTATTCAATGATAAAGCATGTTTTGATTTCCCCCCAGCCGTCATTTCAGACAATCTTAGAAAAGCGTGATAAGCTAAACTAAACATTGCTGAATACATCACAGTCTCGTAATTTGAAAGCGAAAAATTGATAACTGACAACGTTTTTAATAATTTTGTTAACACCTCGTCTGTGATTGGCATTCTTCTATCGGAGGTAGGGGCATTTTTTAAAGCCCCTTTTAGCATTTTCCTAATCAAATAATCGTCTGCCGGGTCCGGCTTGTTATTTATTTTGTGGAAATAAGAAATTCCTGAAACGGTTGTTATGATTGTTGCCCCCGCATACTTTTCCAGAGATAAGTGTGCAATAAATGATCTTAGCATTGTTTTGTTAATTGGAAATAGTTTAGCTTTGGTTGACTTTGTAAAATCATTGTGAAAATCAATGTATTTCTTCCATGCCCTTATGTATGTCTCTTTTGTTGATTCTGCCATGGAGTCATTTATTAACTTATTGATTCTGTCTTTAATTTCGGAATTAAAATTTCCGCTGGTTCCTGGTTGAGCCACGGTGCAATATTTCGGGCCCTTTCTATCTGAAAACGAGAAATTGCATCAGCAAGATCGTTTTTTGAAGTTGAAATATATTCTGTTTTTACTAATATATTTTCTTTAAGACATGATAATATTAGTTGCCTAAGTAAAGACATTGTTTGTTTATTTTTAGATGTCATGTTATTAATCGCCTGACAAATAACTTGGTTATCGCATCGAATTAGCAGTTTATGGTTTCTAAACAGTTTTGACCAGGTCATTATGCTAATAACTATAGGCATTAATTCTTTGGTTGAGATATCTAGTTGTTTTGTATTATCTGACCATGGCATAAAAAACCATTTTGACCGAAATACTCCCCCGCAGCCTATGTTTCCACTTGCATCGGTGAATAGTTGTAAGGTATTGGAATCTACAAATTGCTTGTTCATAAAGAATGAGACACCGTTGTAATCTTTCAAAAATACATGCCACATCTCGAGATCTTTTCGGGCTTCCTTAGTTATATGGATTTGTTTGAATTTGTTTCTTTTGTTTCTACTGCTGTAGATTGATAGACCTAGCAAATCATACAATCTTCGAAGAGCGACGCGTCCAGGGCGTACCACCCTCGTTGCGAAAGCGAATTTGCCTAGCATTGACTCCAATTCATGTTGTAAAATGTATTTGCATTTCCTATATTTATCGACGGCTAGTTGGAGCGGTTGCAATTTATCCAAAGGTAAGCGAGCCTCCCACGCATTCGTGTCTAATTCAATGCCAAATACGGTCAATATTGGTGACGGGCCGCAAGTCTTGGATGTCTTAATTGGCATTTGTATTTTTTCCGCAATTCTTAAAAATTTTGCAAGGTCTTCGGCGCATTTTGAGGAGTTCGGTGGACCTATTATGACAAAATCGTCCAGCAAGTGTGCAATATATTGAATATTGAATTTTGATCGAGCAATAAATTCCACTGCTGTACTGAAAGATTCAAAAATGCTACATGATGATGAACACCCCATTGGAAGTGTTTTATCAAAGTAGAATTGCCCCTCCCATATTATGCCTAAAAGATGATGATCATTTTTGTGAATGGGAATAATTTTAAAGCTGTTTTCAACATCTGTTTTTGCAATCAATGACCCTCTGCCATTAAGTTGAATCAGATCAATTACAGTGTCGATTGTTTGATAAGTAACTGCCGAATCATTTGACGATATTCCATCATTAACCGACCTTCCGTCTGGGAAACTCAAATCATGAATGATTCTATATTTTCCTGGCTCTTTCTTTGGAATTCTTCCCAATGGGCTTATCTTGAATTTGTTTTCAAAACACAATGGCGGTTCTTTGAAAGGACCGATCATTCTCCCTAAGTTGATTTCGTTTTGCAAATAAGCCATGACTTCAGAACTTGCGTCATTTGCTGAGGAATGATTTCGCTCAACCTGATTTGAAAAAATATTAAAGTCTTCATTACATCGAATTCTAAAGCCCTGAGTAAAACCGTCTATTAATTGTTTGGCCTTATCAGGATAATAGCCCTCTAAAAGAATTGAAAGTATTTTAACATTTATTGGAGTTTTTATGCTATCATCATAGGCATGTTCTGAACGTGATATTGAATTCCAATCGGTAGTTTCGAGATTATTGGCATTTGGTACTAGGTTTGTGCTCTTTGTCGCACTTTTTGCAAGGGTGTATGTATGAGCAGGAATTTCCTCTAGGGCATTTTCCCTGGTTTGCGAAAGTGTAGCAGTGCCCTTCAGGCACTCGTTTGATTGTTTTGCCACTGTTGTTACGAAAACTAGACTTTACTGAATACGGCTCATTGCGTTTTGACTGTCGTTGACGCGATTTTGCGCTGTCAATTAAATCACGGTTTCTGGTGCCCCATGACAAGTTTGCCGAATTCTTATGCAAGCGGAAATTTTCGTCGTAAAGTTTAGCTACTTGAAACCCATATTCGACAGAAATTTCACGTATATCTTCAATATACTTCATTAAAGGACTGATTTGGTCAGAATGTACTTTACAATAGACTGCAATAAAAACATGGAAGGCAGTACTCCATTGGTCGTACGTTTTAATCTCATGCCGTGGTTTTGACGGGTTGGTAGTTACCGACGACGCACGTTGTTTTATTGTGACCGTCAATTCACTTTCGCCTGGAATTTTGTCGAGCAGATGAGCTAGATTAATGTACTCGTTTGAAATGATCTTAACCACGATTTTTTTATCGACCCCACTCTCAAGGGGTATCCCAGTGGATAGAGGAATGAATTGATTAGAATTTAAAAAATCATTTGCTGCCGAGGATTCCTCACCTTGCTTAAGCAGCTCAGATATTGCCGATGCAATATCTGATTTAGAGCCACTTGCTCCTGGTGAAAATGAAACTTCATCGTCGCTGTCAGAATCGGAGGCATTCACCTCCCGTAGGTCTTGAAGCTTTGGTGCCAGTCTTTCCAGGACTTTGTCTACGATTTCATCCACTTTTGATGATTTTCTGGATTTCACAGCCGTTGTCTCATTCTTTCTTTTTGTTCCCCTAGTTCTAGGCATTGTTTACAAATCCTGAAACACGAATTTGAGGAACACGTAGTAATTCTGGCATTGCCTTTCGTTATTGTGGTAATGCAAAATTTAACAATATAAAGCCGACTCCCAATATTAAATATAATTCTCAACTAAGTATAGCAATTAATGCAGTCATTTTAATTATATAAATGACTATTGTCGAATATGCAGGATGCTTTGAAAGTATAGTAATTAATTAATTTCCTAAAGGTGCGATGAATGATTGTGGTAAGAGATTGATCTTACCCAACGCTACCTTGCATTAAATACCCATGTTAATGGATCATGTTCATTATAAATTATTGTTGGCCATGCATGTTGAATCGGCAGTATTCAGCATGATCCAAGTTATGGTAGAATCAGTAGTATTCTTCGCATAACATAATTAATTATTGCAGATGCGAGGAACAATTATGGTAAGGAATTGACCTAACCCCACGCCACCCCTCATGCTGCCGACAAGCGAGGCATTTCTGCATACACTAATTCTGTGCAATATATTATTTAGCCAAAGTGATGTAAAGTTATTTTAAATTCGTATAACTACTTAATCAATCAATTCCTACTCATCACTTATGGCTACCTAGCACTACTGATACTAGGAATTTATTTAATTTATATTTTGTATTACACTAATGTTTATAGATCAATTTAATATTGCGAGATGGACATGGCAAAACTCACTTTATGTTGTTTTATCCCGAGCGAAAATCAGAATTCTCTTCAGATTAGTAGCAAATTTTTGGTTTCCTTTCTCGGAGAGGTGAATGCCTTTCGCATCATATAGTTCGTCTACGTCATTGTAAAATCCTTGATTAGGGAAAGCACATATATGGGTATCGGAACTTGTAAGAATGTTTAATTTCTTATTCATCGCGAGGCGTCTTCTCTCGTATAGTTCATATTTTGCTGTAGGTAATAGCCTTTTAAAAGCATGGCCAATTCCAACGAATTTTATGAAATCGAACCCCTCTAATAGAAACATTGCTAAACTGTATATCTTCACCGCTATATCGTTCTCGTTATAACGACGGCTGCTCAAATCGTTTCCTCCCAATTGTAGATAGACAATTCTTGGTCTGGATTTCTTTACTTCTGATGAAAGATATGCCTGTAAGCTCCTTTTTTGAAATCGGCTTTTTGAGTTGGAATTCCATCCAAAATTACCTCCGCGTATACCAAGAAAATGTAACTTAAATGAATCATCTAGGCTCAGATTTTTCAAATACTTCTGTTGGTGTTCATTTAACCAATGGATTAAAGAGTGTCCGAAAACTAGAATTTTTGTCACAGGAGTCTCTGCCATGTCCGATCTCGTATAAATTATAGTTACAAGTGGTGAAACAAATTGTACTCACCCTGTTATTATTTAGTTTTTCCTTCCCGGAATATATTTTCTCCTACTAGCTGTATAGTATTCACATATATCGAAGTGTAGACAATTTTTTAAATGTCCACAAGTATATCAATATATTAAGTGTCCATAAGGATATAAATATATTAAATGTCCATAAGTGTATAAATATATTAATTGTTCATAAATGATATGCAATATTATTATGATACAATTGCATGTACAGTGATTTACTTTAATTATATTATCAGAACGTTCTATTGTTAGCTACTAGTGCTATTGCAAGCAGCCTGTAAGTTGAACTAAGATATAAACTTGTTTCACTGAGGTTAACCCTAAACTGATGTGTCAGTCAAACATTAACATAATGCACAGATACAATCGTTCGACCCACAAAGCACCTTATTTGGCATAAGGGAAAATATCTAGATTTAAGCATTCTCCACATCTTGCTCAATTGCTTTATGTGTTTCCCGTTTTTTGAGATATTTAACGTCAAAAACGGTAAGAATATGTTACTTGTCAAGTTTTTTAAGAAAAATAATTTTCAAGTTCTTACGAATTCATATCTGACCTTAGGTTTGAGAGTTGACCTTTGGTTGACCTTCAATGACCTTAAAAATGTAAAAAGTTGATTTTTAAAATAAATTCTGTGGATTCAAAAGGTATATTAAATTCTAAAATACCCCAACGTCTAAAAAGTAAAATTTGCAAGGTCAAAGAAGGTCACATTCTACACATATTAGCATTAACTATGAATTGAAATTTGTACCAATTTGAGATAAAAGAGTTCAAAAACTGAAAAAATCAAATTTTGAAATTTTTCAAGGTCAAATTTCAAGTTGTTTCAATTCTAACAAACCTTTTTTAAATCATCTACAAGTTGTTCGATTGTGTAAAACCTGATATTTGATATATCTGAGATTGTACCCTTTGGATTTGGACCTTTGAAATGTCAAAAAACGGGCCCTCCGTATATTGCTTGCAATCTTGATGTCTAGTTTTTAACTCAATCTGCAATTAAAGGATCGTGTACACAAAAAGTAGTATTTTATTTATAATATTCAATAAAAAGGAATTCAAGCATGCGGTGTTATGATTAGAATTGAACTGACTGATCAAAATACCAATACCAATTTTAAAAAACTTTCAAAACTTACTTATGTTTTGAGGAAATGGGGGACGAAGTTTATGTTTATGTATTTGTATAGAATGGTAAAAAATATAGAACACTTTTTAAATTTTTAGAAGAGGAATTGATTGTCTCAACAGCATATCATTGATGCTATTGATCAGTTAAGGCTAAAATCTAGGGCTAAAATTGATCAAAAGGATGGACATATTTAACGTCTGTTTTTGTAAATTAAGTTGACAAAAACTCGCTTTTTGCAAGTTTTGGAAAACCCGTTTCGAAACGAATTATGGACACTAGTTAACATACGTTGTGTACATTAAAATAAATGTGAGCTTATGATATACCAAATTAAAGATCAGTAAGTTCCCAATCCACTGGTATACATAGGGTGTTCACTAAGAAATGACACTAGGTCTCCCATTTCTACAGTTTTTTACCAATCTTTTTAGATTTTGCACATGTTATCTGGCATGTAATAATTCTATGTCTCAAGAATCAGAAAAGTAAATTTTATCATACACATTTTGATTTTGTAACATGGTCATTGACACAGCACATATAATGTCACATTTAACATTAATCTTTTAATTAATTCTGAGAAAATCACTTCTACAAACAATATAATATTTATACCCAGCACTCGAGGTCCATGCCCAGAGGATATACTATTATTCACTACAAAATAGTTTGTATCTGCTTCGATGCATTTTTTTGTCATTGTTTAGCCACCCATACCTGGAAAACATTTGTTTGGCGAATCGTTTATCTAATCTTATTTCAATCTGGCTGAGCTAACAATTTTCTAATCAGAATGAAGGTGTTGACACTTCAGAAGTCCAGGAACATGAAACCTTAGTTCAAACTCATTTGGTGAATAATGAGCAAGTTCTACATTTTTAAATCCTTGACTATGCATTCTGTTCATTCTCTCTAATATGATGTCATAAATGAACCACATGGTGATGTTACCACTGTACAGGATATATTCTAAATGACCAACTGGCATAAATTTAATAAAGAATTCAAATCTCAAAATCATGTAAAACCCCATCATATAATGCATCTTTTCATCAAAATTGAGTAAAATTGATGTCTCCATGTCACCAAGTTGCCACGGCAACCATTATTTCATTGTTTTGAGGTCATGAGCTTTGAAATAAACTCACAATTACACTTTTAAAACATGCTGAAAAGGAGTGGTATCGATATGGTGAAAATTGTTAACGACGGGTGAGTAAAGGTGCAGTTATGATGTAGAATATTCGGCCTTTGTTTTCATTTCGAAAATCAATTGTAAAGCAATCAAGACCAAAATCACGAGAAAGTGGGATCAATAATAGTAATTTCTTTTGTGATATATCATATATATATATAATTTTCTTAGAACTAATTCTCCGGTTATGCACCAGATTTCGATTTTTGCAATTTCCATTTCCTGTACCTTTACATACTTAAAATTTTTTAACATGTATGAAAGCATACTAATTTACCCCCTGTCATACCAAACTAGTTCTTACCCGTTCTTGCCAGTCCTACGACGGTTCCGTTCGTAGTACGTCCACCTCGTCGTTAGTGTCCACCTCGTCGTTAGTAGGTTGTCACTCGTTCTAATTGTAGAACGTGACGACCACGAGAACATTTTGAGCATGTTCTATGTTTTAGAGGGCCTACCCGTTCGAGTACGTTCGATGAAGTTTGTAAATAGACCCCAAACGGTTCTAGGTACGTCAAGTTCGTTCGTACACAGTTGAAGCCCGTTTTCGAGAACGTAGTGAGAACTAGTTTGGTGTGATAGTAGGGTTAGCCCCACTGATCACGATGCACAGATTATAGATGCGATTGCATCTTCATGTCTTTAGTTAATTTTTCAGGAAGTTCCTATTAATGAATTTTTTGTTGAAAATTGTCTGGGGCAGCTACAGTGAATTCTTCTCCAAAAATGATTGGGAAGCACAGGTTACTTCTTCTGGCAATGTCCCAATAGATTTCCAGAACGGCGTGACTTCGATTCTCTTTCAAAAGACTTTTTTCGATGTCAGAGTAATTGAAATTATATATTTCTAAAATGTGTGTCTCGACATGCATTGTATGAAATATAGAATTCTGGCAGTCTTTTAATTTTGTTGATTGTGATAGTTATAACGGGTCTAGATCTTGGGCCATGTTTTCCTGATGGATCTTTCTCTTCCATGTTTCTTCGATCTTTGTTTCTTCCACAGGGGTACTTGGTCGTTATCTGAGTTGGGCTATACGACTGCTTCGCCATAATTTCAAAGAATAACCGAGGAATAGCGTTGTTTTTCAAAAACGTGTAGAAGAAACCCAAAAGGTGCCTTAAAAGCCAAATAGACTTGAGGCCATTTAGCCAAAGAACTAATCAATTAAAGTAGATAAAACTAATTCCATTTTGAGGAAACTGCGTTATACAATGTGACATCCACAGGCAGCATAATAGAACTGTCCTCAGAACGCAAATTATACATCGTGCGAAATAGGAAAGTGATTACCAAAGAATAACCGAGGTATAACGTTGCTTTTCAATGTAGACTTCGGGAGACTTGAGACCATTTGGCCAAAGAACTAATTTTAAACGTAGATAGAAACTAATTTCATTTGGAGAACGGCTGTGGGCAACATAAATATATTCCAAAATTAAGAGCAACAGTGTATAAAAAATAATTAAATATCGAAACGAAAGGTCCATGTGCAGTATGGCAAGTGATTTT